TATGAGTTGAATGTAATGGAACTTTATACTAAGCACCAATAGACTAGCTATGAGCGGTTGTGCCTTCTTTAGGGAAGGGAGGAGATTCACGTAACTCTCATGAGATGAGACTGTCAGGCATGCGGGTATGGGTCTTCTTACATCTCCTAGTCTTCGAACCTACACTACCAATATAGAGATGTGGCGGGTTTCAATTCCCATGTACTCTAGCATGTTTTGGGTCACTTTGGCCTATGATTCCACCTCTTTTCGGTGTGGGGGAGACACCGTATTTCATGATGCTCACATGATCTATGTCGGTTAAAGTTAAAGTTCCCAATGAATGAATGAGTCCAGCCTCAAATGATGCACATAATGAAATGAATGATACCAAATATGTTAGGATAAGATGATCAAGAGGTGATCTAGGCTGAAGTAATGACACTAGTTCATTCTTGATCATTGCACAACAAACCTGATGAAAGTGTTAAACTACATCCTAGGTATAGATGTGTTCACACTAGCCTATGAACGGAATGAAATGAAGTACATATGAATGAATAAATCAGACTCTGTGTTGGCTAATGAAGGTTCCCTAGTTGAGGTCCCATATGTTGAGCCCTCATTTAGGGAAGTCTTAATGTCAAGTCCATGATTGCAAGGTCTCATTGTATTTGAATGAATGATATGAAAGATGTTATATGCTATATGCAAAATGATATGTGTTTTGTGTAAGATGTTATGTTTTGTGTGCAATATGATAAGTATGATGATTCATGTTATTCTCATGGCATGACTTTCCTAATCCAAATTTGGAAAGCTTTCTAACTTTCCTAATCCCATTTTTGCAAGTCTACTAACTTGACTTTCCATAATCATGTTGTTAGGAAAGAGCTTTTCTTACTCACGCATGTTCTTCATGTGTGCTTTCATATACCCATACTTAGTACAAGTGTTTATAATTCCATACAATTTTACACTTTTAGGTGCAGGCACAGGTGGATGCTAGAGCTTACGATATGACGTTGCAGCTATCCGGATGTGGAGCATTCATCCGGACTTGGTAGGCCCTCATGCTTTCGAGGACCCTTGCCCATTATATTCTAGCTTAGATATAGGTTTGAGTTAGTGGAGTATGTTCCACTAGTTTTTTATTTGCCGTTTAATTTCAGACTTTGTATTATTGTTGTTTTGGCAAGGATATGTTTGATACAATTATGAACTGCTTCTTTCATTTGATTATTTCTACATTAGATGGTTGATTTGTGAATGATGACTTATGTAGGCTTTTCTACGAACTTTGAGAGGTCAAAGACGTCGATCTCGTCTGGGGTCTGATTCCGGTTGTGACACTACATATCATTAAGCCTTAAGAATTAGGCTGTTTGTAGTTTGGCTTGATCAGTTGAAAAGAAAATCTATTATGATGGATAACCTTTGGTTTTGGAGGAGTGACAAGTAAGTCGAGTATGTAAAAGAGACTTTCAACCTTTTAGCCATGATTCTTTATCTCTACACATCCATATGTAAAAGCTTAAACAATCATAATTTCCAAAGATCTTGGTGCATTGACACTAGGATTGGATATTTCCTTCTGTTTAAAACCAAAATTTCTAAATGCAAAATTGAAACATATGAAACCTAAAGAAAAATCTACATGCCTTCATATAGGAGTGTAGTTTGATTATGGTGGAACACTCTCCTTAGATCACGTCCTAAGAGATTTATACTCCTCTATGGACTATGTCCCAGTTCGACGCTAAGAAAAAGTTTCACGTTGTACTACATCCCTTTTGATGTTGTCCTCACATGTGGTTTGATTTGAGAATTTGTTCTCTTGGATACTTTCGACAAAGACTAAAATAAAAATTTTAGTTAATTGAAAAAAGTGATTGTATATCTTATGATACTTTTTTGTTATCTTTTAACTGATTTCTGTAAATACACCACTGTATCGGAATTCTTTTTTAAAAAAACTCTTGCTTTGAAAGATGTCATAGAGGTTTCTTCAGTTTATGTAATTTTTGAACACAATATGTCTATTACAACTCATGATTTGCTGAGGAATTGTAGATGTCATTGCTTGTTTTTATGCATGAAAAACTCCGAGGATATCTACGACGAGCCAAATGTCTTGATAAAATCCAAATGTAGCATAGTGGATGCTCGATAATATTCTAACTGTAACGAGGTGAATGACTACATAATATTCCAATTGTAACGAGTTGGATGACTCTATAATATTATAACTGTAACAAGGTGGATAATATTCCAACTGTAACAAGGTGGATACTCGATAATATTCCAATTGAAATAAGGTGGATTCTCAATAATATTCCATCTGTAAGGAGGTGGATGGCTCGATTATATTCCAACTGTAATGAGGTGGATGGTCGATAATATTCCAACTGTAATAAGGTGATGGTTAAATAAATATCCAACTGTAACGAGGTGAATGACTCGAGGATTATCCAACTGTAACAAGGTGGATGACTCGATGAATATTCACTCCTCAGCTTGTGCTAAGAAAAAGTTCCACATTGTGCTTCTTATTTTTTGATGTCGTGTGCACCTGAGGTTTGGTTTAAGAATTCATCCTCTTAGATTCTTTCAATAACAAATGAAATAAACTTGTTAGCAGAAACTATAATTCAAATAGAGAAGTAATATGTTCTACCATATTCAACACATGTTGCCTCCATTAGTTTTGACGCAGTAGATGATGTCTTGATATAATGTGGATCACGATGATTTATTAATAGGATGATGATCATCCATTGATAGGATAATGCTGCTATATGATAGGATGATGACATTGATGCTCCATTCAAGATAATTTGATCCATCGGTGGGATGATGTTGTTTCTCTTTTGGGTGATGACATTGATGCTCGATTGATAAGATGATGATTCTTAGTTGATGATACATTGGTATGACTATGTTGACACTCCATTGATATTATCATGATGCTTCGTTTATGATCCATTGGTAAGATGATGTTGATCCATTGACAGGATGATGTTGATGCTTCATTGAAATGATGATGATGTTTCATTGATAATCCATTGGTAGGATGATGCTGATTTATTGGAAGGATGATATTGATGTTCCATTGATAGGATGATGATTCTTCATTGATAAAATAACAATGATGTCCTTCTAGGAAGTAGTCATATCTCATTTGATAATATTGTAGAAATGTCTCTTTGGGAGGGTTTCATATTCCCGCGTCTGATATCGACGTGATTTGTGAATGTTCTTCAAATTTCCTTGATGCTGAAAAATGTAATTAAAGTCATTGTAGATGCTAGTACATGTTGATAGTGATGCTTTGACTTGTTCATGTTTGAACATATATGCTCATTGTGACTCATACTTTGCCGAGAATTTGATTTAGGCATTGTTTCTCATATTCTGAATTGTTTCTTCTTCTTTTGTTTTATCTAAAAAACTTCAATAACTTTAAGGCATTAACATATATGTTGTAAATTTTTGAGAGCTCCTCCTTCTTTTGGATTCTCCACATTCATTGAATGGAGGAATGTGGTGAACTTGAGGCGATCTTATTGAACTACATCCATTGGAAAATTGTTAGTTCTTAAAACAAACAAATATATGTTTACTTCTTCAAACTCTTGTTCCTTGTGTTTCTATGTTCAGTTGATTGCTCTGATCTATTGCTTATCGATAAATAAGACAAAAAATTTTATGCAAAAATATTTGAAACATATAGATAAAACATTTATGAAAAGGTACTCAAAAGTTATAATTGAAAAAAGTCACTTTCGAGATCTATCATACAACTTGTTGAATAGATTTCGAAGATTGTTGAAGTTTGGGCGATCTGACTCTAGAAATATCAAATATTGTTGAAGTTGACTTCTAACTTTAGAACAATGTTGAGGATCACTTGAAGTTACTACAAAACGTTTGACCATCTGGAGCTATTAATAGTTTATCTTAAATCTTTATTGAAGACATCAATAAATTTTTGAGGCCATCTCAAAAATTTATGTCTCAGTTAATTGTCTTGGCGTATCTTGAACTGTCGATGATCCAATAATGGAATTTTGGAGATCTTCTCAAAACTCTTTCCCACTTATAATTGTCAATGTAACTTCAGTCTTGACTTGTTGGAGAGATATTTTTCTTGAGAATTTTTGAGTCCCTATCAAAAATTTTGTCCTAGTTTCTATTGTAAAGAAAAATAAAAATCATACAGGAGATTTGACCATGCTGTTGTGATACCTACATATCTCGTTAAGGCACGAATAAAGTCAAACACAGTTCCTCCTCAAAGATTATCATAAATAAGAAATTTACAATGAAACCAATTAAGGCCGACATATGCGCGTACGTATCTCATTCTTGAGAATTCATGTCAAACATAGTTCAAATACAAAAGGAAACATTAATAAGGGATAAATGGGTGACCTAGTCCAACAAAGGTCACCTCATCTCATTCATGAGAATTCAGGTAAGACGTAATTTTATAAGAACAAAACATAAGAAGATTACAAATAAATGGCGTTCTTACAACGAAAGAAAAAAAACTCAAAATCTTTAAATATGATAACTCTTGATAGCATTTGAGTCGATTATCAACTTCAGATGAATGTATATGTTTGTAAAGACCCTCAAAATAAAATATGATGAACAAGATCCTCATGAGTTTTAAGAGATAATAAATTGTTAATAAGAAAACAACTTGTAATAGTTTGTTTAAATAGGTTTGAGGTCAAACGTCAAAGGACGACCAAGACGTCCAAAAACTAGCCTTTGGTGTGCTAGTGTGACCTCTTATGTTTTCCTAGTTTCTATGGGTTTTTTGGAGTAAAATAATTAGTGGGGGTGACCCTAGCACCGATATGGACATTTTTAGAATCAAAACATTCGGGTAGGACCTCCCAAGGACCACCCTAAGGGTCCTCGAGGAGGACCCAAAAGATTGGACAAGAAGCTGCCTTGGCAACGTTGGGTAGTTGCTCTAGGAAATGGTTCCACGTCGCGGAGCAGTTCCCCCCAAGGAAAAGTTCTGCCTTCGCGTCGCAGTCTCCTCATTACCACCCTCCTATTTTTGTAAAGTCATGGAACACCTCCGCGTTGCAAACTTGTTCGACGATGTCACCTTCTTCATTTAAAGTCAACTTGGATGATTATTTTTAATTCCAAATGGTGTAGGGTATTTTGGGATCTTTGGGAATTTTTTATAAACGGTTTTTGTGCCATTTTGCCCGTCTTCCCATATCAAAACACAATTACCAAATGAGAAACCAAAAATTCAAAACCTTCTTCTCTTCCAAAATTTTCTCCAAAAACTCCATTGGTGGCCAAGCTCAATCTCAAGATAGAAGATGTATTTTCATTTGATTTCTTCTCTTATTTGATGGGTCTTCAATAAATAAGGTATGGTAACTCTTGATTCTTGAATAATCTTTCATTCAAGGAGTTCTATCTAAGATTTTTAAAAGTGATCCAAAGACCAAAATTCCCTATTTCAATCTAAGCATGGTTCTTTGTTAAACGATTTTCAATGTCATTCTAGTAATGAATAAATGTTGAATTTGTGTTGTTATGATGTTTTCCTATGGAATTTATGAATATCTCATGATCATCCCATTTCTCAAAATTGGCCTATAATGTGGGTCTTTGTGAATATGATTTTATGTGAATGAATTGTACTTGAATTGGATAATATTGTTAGATTTGATTTCTATATATATCCATTAACTAAGAATTGTGGAGGATTGATCTCTGTTTATCATCTCTTGGAGAATTGGTAAGTGACATAATCTCTAGTCTACAGTATAAGAATTGATGTTGTGTGGTATGGTCCACTTATGGTGGCAGTGTTTATGCCTCGTCTTTCTTTGCATCTTGTGATCATGCACTTGATAGAAATAGATGTAAAGTGAATTTTTGATTATGATACATATGCTTTTAAAGTTGTGCTATGGAGGTTATGTAAAGAGATACTCAATGTTTGCCTGATGTTAAAGTATGTTGATGAGGAGGAGTATAATGTGAATGATCATGTTAGAGATAAGGTGCAGTCTACTTGGTTGATTATGTTAAGTACTATGTTAGAATGACCTCTACCTATATTACCCCTATATGAATTTGTGATCTTAAGCATGTTAAGAGTTTATCTATTCAAATGTGGAATGTGCTCTCGTCTTCTATCATAAAATATGGTTTGTGGTCAAGAATCCCTACAATGATCTATATGTGAGTTTTTCATGACTTAAGGGATATTATGAATGTGTTGTGATACTCTGAGGGGAAGTTTCCTTTGATACCAATATGGTTGCTATTATGTAATTATGAGGACCAATATGTACACACACACATCCCATGCATCACTATGAGTATGATATATTTAGGGTGTTGATTGAAATGATAATTCTCATATGCACCTTTATATCTTCTTGTGCATGAAAAATATATGATTAGTGAATTATGAACATGTGTTGTCTAAAGGTATCTATGTGAAAGGCTTTCTCACATATGTATACACATACATGAATGTACGAATGAATAAGGTTTATGATAATCTAGTGAAAGTGGGTCTCTTGAAAGGTTTCCTCAATTGTACTGTAGACTAGACTATGTTATGAATATGTTAGGATTATGTGAAAGGACATTCTCACGTAATGTAGGTTCTATGATGAAAGGTCATTCTCATCTTAGTAACCTTTGAGCTATAGGAAATATGAGGGATTAAGTCCCTAAAACCTATTTTATGAAGGCTTAACATCTAGCAAGTCTATCTTCCCACAACAGGACCTTCACGTTTAGTAAGTCCGGGTTCCAAACATAGATGTTGTTGCATGAGATGGAAACCTCCACATCTATCAAGTCAAGGTTTCTAGTAATAATCTCCTTATTCCATAAATATGTGACCCTATAGGTCTTAGCAGAGTGGATCCACTAGATAGCTATTATGTATGAAGGCCCTACCTTGGCAAGATATACCCTCTCTTTTCGGTGTGGGAATAGAACACCAGATTCCATTTGTCTCATCCGAAAGTTAAGAAATAAACTAAGATAACGATATGAACTCTAGTCATGAGTCCTTGACAAGTTTACTTAGTATAGGTAGGACTATGGACCATACCGATGCATTGCACAAGTGGAAAAAGAGGATTGGATTAAAGTCTCTATGAAAGAAAGACTTATGTTAATGTATGATTAGTATGAATACATGTTAAGGTTGACTTTGCTTATACCCAAGATATGAAGTATGATTATCCATGTGAGTTACATTTATGACTTCTTAATAGGTTTGCTTATTATATGTGGAGGAGTAGGACTCATGTGTACATTGCAGAAGTGAACTTGTGAATGGGTTGTGAGGGTGGTTTACCTATGATATAACAAAATAGGTTGTTACTAATAGGTGTGAATGAAGGAGTTTATATGTGAACATTAATGAAGTATGTTGGTGTCCTTTCTAATGAAAATGAACATGTTATGACTTGTCTAATAGTATGTGTCTAGTCTAGGGTGGCTTCCTAGGATCCCTTAGTGTGAGTAGAATTATGGGATGCTACTTGCACATTGAACTAGTGTTATTTGGGGGTTGTACGAGGTGATGGTTTTTTTGTAAAGATTATGACTTATGATGTTTTTATGACTTTATTAATATATATGGTTGTATTGATGAAGCATACATATGAAAGATTATCCTTGGTGACCTTAAGGTGATACATTGTACTAAGTATTATTTAAGGTTTGCTTAAGGAAAGGAGTTAAGATAAAAAGGTTAGTAATGTATGGTGTGAATTAAATATACCTCAATTGTGATAAATGGCTTCCATATGTATGATGATGTATGTGATCTATTCTGTGCCTATTTTGTCCATGTTCATGAAGTTTTGTAAAAAGGCATAATGCATGGTTTCCAAGGTCCCCTTAATGAATGTTTTTGCATGGTTATCATACTTAGTGCATTATTGAACTAACACCATTCTTCTTAATATTTTTACACTAAGTGTAGGTGGCGGCGACTTATGGACCTTTCATAGAATAAAGAGGATTACTATTCCCAAGTTCGGGTGTGTCCTTACAAATTCAAGGACCATTTTGTCAAGAGTTCTCTATAAATTTCATTTACTAGATAGTAGATGCTTTTGTATCATAAGGGTCGTGTCCCTATTGTGTTATAGTCGTGTTGTAAGATGACTACATTAAAACTTAGTACTTCCATTGTATTTTAAAAAGGTTTTAAACTAGATGGATTTTAGTCTTGTGTTATCGTATGGAAAAGACTTAAATTTCTGCTATTTTATGTATATACGATGAAAGATGTCTAAGAGCTTGTATATGACCTCCGAAAGTTCGAGTACACCATATGACGCCTAGGGGGTACTCCCTGGTCGTTATATTTTTACCATGATATGTGATCAAGCAAATGCATAAATGCGTTTTCTAAGCAAATTGATGAGTTCTCTTTTGCGAGATTTTCTCAGATGGACCCTGATTTTGACTTGTATAAAACAATCATTCGTTTCCAGATTTACAGTTTTGTCTCATTTAGATTTGGTTTATTTTGAGTCTCGAATTGTTTCATGTCTTTGATAAGGTGTTTGGATATCGTGATCTCCTCATCATACTTTTCAAACTCACCTTCATCTACCTCATTTTGTTCATTCAACTTGTAACATGACATGAAATTGAAAAGTTTTAAGAAAAATATTTTGACTGAAACAAAAAAAAAGACTTTTAGATAGAAAAACTAAAGCATGTGAAATTAATTTTCACAATAGAAAAACTTTCATTGAGAACAAGGAAATATGAACTTTGTCAATGACCATGAGACATTTTACCTTTTTCAAAATGTTACAAGGGAAATTAGAACTTAATTAATTAAAATGACATTAAAAAGTGGATTTCGGGCCTCATTCGTACTACCACCGATTTTAGAATAACATAAAATTCATCATTGTCTATCAAGATGAGCAAGGAATAAAGAACATAGTGGAAGTACAATTAAGAACTTGCTCCATTAGCTCGGTGTCTGGTATGCCTGATATATTGTTCACACTGGGTATGTCATGGCCCGAGCAACCCAGGACACGCGGACGCGGGACCTAGACCACAAGTGATCCAAAGATAACCCCGCTGGTCTGAATCATGAGCATACTAAAAAAAATAAACTGGAACGAAAGCAAAATCATCATTAAAATGAAAATTGATGAGCTTAATACAGAGAAAATATTAACTCAATACTAAAGTGAAACTAAATATGTCCGAAATAATACTCTAACTGACTTGAAATGCTGGAAATAACGAAATAAACTAAATGATTAAAAATAATGAAAAGAAACTCATAACTATTGTCCTCGCACAGTGAGGACTCACCACTGATTCTGCTGAACTAGAGATCGGGAATCGATCTATGCGTAATTTGAATGTTGAGAACCTAAACCTACATAAGGAGAAGATGTAGCAGATGTATGTGTCAGTATTTGAAAGGTACTGAGCATGTAGGATAGAGTAAAGCTAAAATAATACATAACTTGACAAGCACAAAAGCAAGTATAATCTTATGAACATGATGTACTGACTGCTGAGTTAACTGGATGCAATAACCAAAGTTATAACATGCTATGACTGGATACTAACTGAACTGTAAATATGGTCAATGCAAAAAAGTCGGATTAAAGTGTAGGATCGACTAATAACCGATAATAAAACCATATGAGTGACATGTGGAGTCAGATGTATACGTCCCATCGAGAGGACCCAATATAACCCGCTAGAGGTATAAAGGCATGTTGGTGTTATCACCAAAATGATGCCCACAAAGGGGACTTACAACTTACTTGGCTAGTAGTTTTGGGACTATTTGGATATGTTAAACCCTAGTCCAACTCGGTATTATGATACTCCAATGAATTAAGTGTTGAATTGATTATGACTGAGTTTTTGTAAATACTTGATAGCTCAAACTGAACATACAAACTGAGATTGCAACAATTAATCTGATAATGATGTATTAATAACTAAGGCATGTATAACTGAACGGCTGATACATCTAACCTGGCATATGCAATTTAAGAACCAAAGAATACATAGCTAAGATTATTAAATTCATGCGGAAAACTATGTTATAACATGATATTCTTATTTAAAACATGTTAATAACTAATTCATGATGATCTGTTGTTATTCTAGAAACCCTAGGTCTATTCATAATAAGGGAATCAAGAAATTGACTGAATTCTAGGGACCCAACGGGCGAAATGAACCCACTATTGAAATCTTACAGACATGTTGATTAATTCCACGGAGAAATCGTTTGATTTCGGGGCTGGAACTGATGGAACCTTGTTGCTTTCTTGAACTAGGGTTCTTGACTTTTTTCTCCTCTCTTGCTTCTAATTTTCTAAGTTTTGATTAAAGATTTGACTTAGGTAATTTTTAGTTATGTTTCTAGTCTTAAACTGACCTAAACCTCATGATTTAGGGTCTAAACGACGTATCTTAGGGTCCTACGAAATTGGAAAAGACCAAAAGACCCCGACTTAACTGTTGTCGGAGTGATCAACGGGTTGGACTTATGGGTAGTAGTTCAATCTATGGTTCGTAAGGTGGGTCCGTAGATCAAGTCTGCTCTATAAGCCTTCAAAAAAATGAGGATTACTTTTTACTCGTAGCTTAGATTTTAGAAAACTCACAATATTTGAAATAGGATTCAATTATATATCATATAATAGGTGATAGAAAACCTAATTTTTTTGTGCTAAGACTAATGACCATTTGAAGTTGACCCAATCAACAATTTCCCTCTTACTGGTTGCTTACCTTCACCCAGAGTCAGACCTACAATCCGTAGGTCCATCTATAGACTGTACTAGTTGATTGTGGTTCATGCCAAAGTCTAGGTAATAGCGTCTTGATCCACGAGCAAAAACTACGGACTGTGATCTGACTTACGACCGTACATGTGTCCATGGATCGAGACTTAGTAGATTTTCTGGACTGGTTTTTGGGGAAGGGTTGCAGTGGTAAACTACGGACCTACAACACGGGTTGTAAATAAGACTACGGTCCATAGATGGTGACTATAGGTTACACTTGTAACTTTTGAAAAGCTGATATTGGGTCTGTTTTTGCATACGGGTGTTACATGGTACTACGGTCCTGACTACTTTCTGGTGGATCAAGTTCTAGATCATGTTCTTGAAATTAATACATTCTTCAGTATCATGCCCCAACTGTTGCAATGATACAAATATCTTGGATCGGCTTGGTGAAATTTTTAGCTAGCATCGACTCTCTTGGGTTTGACCATATAAATAATGCCTACCAAACTTCAAACAACTTCCTTTGAATTTCAATAAGAGGAGTAAAATTTTGAGCAAGTTTTTTAGGAGACTTGGATGAGAAGAATCATAATGACCTTCTTGAGGCGGAGGCATTTGATGAAAGTTTCGGGTGTTTTTATGGATTGGTGCTCGAGACTTGGGTCAATCATATCAATGGTGAATCCTTTAAGATTCAACAGTGAATCACAGTTGTCATTCAAATTGACAGCTTTAATTATGATGATTTTTTTATCAATCAAGTCTTGAATTTTATGCTTCAAGTTTATGTAATCCTCAGTGGTATGTCCAACACCTCTGGAATGGTAAGCACAATGAAGATCGGGCCTGTAAAGTATGGAATTTACATTGACACTTTTTGGATCAATTTTTCATATCATAGTATCCACCTTATATCTTTCAAAAAGTTGGGTTCGAGTTTTAACCAAAGGAGTAAAGGCTCGACAACGTTTCTTCAAAAACTAATGAAAAGAAAGATTGTAATTATTTCATGAAGATGAAGTTACTTACCGTTAACTAGGAGATTTTGGTGAATAGGTGTTGGTATTTGGAATTTTTGGTATTGTGGGCTTGGTAGCCATTAGGAGCATTTTGGTAATTTAGAAATGCAGTTTGGTAATTTAATTGAGCATTTGAATAATATGGCAATGGAGCTTGGTGATTTGGATGATTTGGTGGTGTATTTTGGTAATTTGGTTTGATGGTGTAAAGGTTTTGTGGAGCTAAATGGTAGGTTTTTGATGGTAAAGGCTTTCGACCAATGAGACTAGCAAGACTCTTTGATTTTTTGCTCAAGTCAAATGAGTCAGAGGAAACATTTTCCCTTTTCCTTTTTAATAGCCTAGAGGATTCATCAAATGATTTTCTGGTCTTGAGACCGTCTTTAATAACTTCACCAATTTTGACAATCTCATTGAACTTTCCTACTAAAATGAGCAACATCCTATTATAGTATTCTGGCTCTTGAATGTGCTCAAAGACTTAAGAAATTTCTGTCTCGGTCATGGGAGGCCTAACCCTTGCAACCTCTCTTCTCCAACAGTAGACACATTTTCACTAGTCTTCAATAGACTTCTGTTTCATTCTCTTCAAAGATTATCGACAAGGAATGAGTTCCACATTGTAACTGTACTTTCAATGAAGTCTTTCGCCCAAGAAATCAAACTTTAACAATGATTGATTTCTTTAGAAATAAACCATTCCAAAGCTTCTCCTTTCGAACTTTGACTAAAGAGTCACATTAACAAAGCTTCATATTTCCATACTCCAGTAAGTTGATCACAATAAGCCCTCAAATAAGTCAAAGGATTTTCAACTCCACTAAAAGTGTCAAATTTCGGTACTTTCAAACCTTTAGGAATATCAAAATTTTGATGAATACATAAATTTTTATAATTCAGCCACACAATATGTGTATTGAACTTCCTTCATTGCATTCATAACTGTAACACTCCAGAAGTTTCATGACCTAGTGTAGGGCCTCACTTGATGAACTAAGCCTTGAAAGAGTGTTTCTAGGCCTAAAATAATGTATTCAATGTAATTGAGAAATATTAAAATCAAAACGTCAAGAAACAACCATGTCGTTCGAAGACTAGTTAAATTGAGGTAATGTGTGTTGGTGTGTTTCAAGGGGTTTAGAGAGTCGGAAAAAGGTCAAACTTGGTGGAAAGGGGTGGAACATATATTAGAGTGTGTTTAGGGTAGAAACGTTTGGGTAGGACTTCCCAAGGACCACCCTAACTGTCTTTGAGGGGTGACCTAGCGTTTGACCCTAAGAACTGTCTAAAAACAATGTGTGATCGACGAAGGGAATCAACGCCCCGTCGATTGACTCACACTCCGTCGTTTGGAGTTGTGAGTCCACACTTAGACTCTTTGAGTCAAGGCTCCATTCGAACCTATCTAACCAAAATGACACCTTGATAGGATGGTCTGTTCATGGATAGACGGAT